AAAAAAAAAAAAAAAAAATCTAGTTTCACTACATCCTTCAGTCCATGAAAATAGTATCCCTTCTTAATGTATAAAACTAGAGAATGTTTCCAGAATGAACAAAGATAAGGGGAGGAGGGCTTAGGAGATAGATCTTCAAGGGCACCAGAAGGACTAGGATGTTTACTCTGTTATCTGAGCCAGTTATTAATCAACTCATAAGATTTAAAGTAGTAGCATATTTTTTAGATTACCAGTTCCTTTTTTTTTTTTTTTTTTTTTTTTTTTTTTTTTTTTTTTTGGCGTTACGCAGGCCTCTCACTGTTGTGGCCTCTTCCGTTGCGGAGTTCCTCTTGATTCAAAGTCATTAAGACCTTTTGTGAAATAACATCTGAAAATTTGATTCACGTATGCGTTCTAGCAAAATATGTTCTGACTTCTTGGGCCACTAGGAAGATAGTCTATCATGCTATCTGGAATCTTCCTGAGACAAAATAGCCTTTATTTTCACACCTTGAGTCATGAAGTGCATTTGTTCTTATTTCATTGAAAGAATTAAGAATTCAGCTTGGTAATATTGAAAGTAACAAATTGAGACCTCATCCCAGAACTGAGGGTAAATAGAATTATATGAGAGGACTCCACCTATTGGACAAAATGGGGTACTCCAACTCCTTTTACCCATTATTAATGAATGAAATAAAGTAGCAGCAGCTTCACTAAGACATTGTGAAAGTCAGCTGGAGAAAAAATATTTCAGATGATTACTTGATCATCACAGATGTAAAAAAAAAAGAAATTAGAAAACTTACTTTATCTGTTATAGGGCAACCACTAAAGGAATTTCTTATTGCATTTTGTGTTTTAAAAATGTAGTAATTCCTGAAAGAGCAGATCTACATTCACTACTTATCAAAGTATTTCATAAATATTTGTTGATTTGATTGTGTCTGCACAGAATGTCAAGATTTTTTTTTTTTGGCTGCGCTGTGCAGCTTTTGGGATCTTAATTCCCTAACCAGGGATCGAACCCGTGTCCCCTGCAGTGGAAGCACAGCATCCTAACCACCAGACCGCCAGGGAATTCCCAGAATGTGAAGATATTTAATTAACTATCTGGAATTTAGATGGGGGAAATGAATGACCTTATATAGAGTAGTATAGAAAAAACTAGTTTCTGAGAATAAATATGCTCATTACAAATTGGAAATCAAAAGACTTGAGTATTAGCTGACTATTATTAGGTTTTAATTAATTCCTATCCTACCTTGTTTTGATTTGTGTTTGGTTTATTTTACAAATCAAGTAGTTTTTCTATGCCTCAGTTTCTTCACTTGCAAAATGAAGGTATGTTAATACTCAGAAAAGTTTTACTAGATGCATGATTATGTGCTCAGCACATTGATAGATATACACTGGAAACACATAGTCCCTGATATCGGAGAGCACACTCTTAAGAGGAAATATGGAAAGAAATCATGTTACTATGAGGCAATATGAACAATATACCCCAGCACATAGAAGTATCAAGGAATGGTAGCCAGCTGAGCCCCAGAAGCAAGTGGAGTTGTAGTCAAGGAGAGCTTCCTGGAGAAGGCAAACCCTCAAGTAAAGCTTAAAGGATGAGTGAGAAATAAGGAGCGTGGAGGATGAGAGGGCACCTCAAGCCGAGACTACCAATGGATTTGTAAGGTGATATTATATACAGGTGGGGCATTTGACAAAACCAGGGCTCTTGGGGCTCTTAAGGGAATCTGAATCCTACTGAGTGTACAGAGCAGGATCCCAGAGGGACTCTAATCTTGCAAAGTGGAGCGGTAGGAGAAGCCCCAGAAGTGTCCCAGCAGGCCTGCCATGGGCCATCTGGAAACTTGGTTTCCCTTTTGCTGGTTGACAGCTGACCTTTTAGTTCCAGCCTTCCAGGGAGCAAATACATTGCTTGGGTTTAATGTTGGGCTGGCATGACCTCTTCAATGGAGTACAGTTTTACTATATTTATCAAGTAAATCATGAAGAATACCATATGGACTCATTAAACTTGAGACCAATGAAGTGGTTAGTGCTGCCGAGTCACCTTCTAACCCAGAGGTGTTGTGAACAGAACACTGACTTCCAGAAATAAAATTCCAGAATCTTTTGTGGTTCTATCTATATTTTAATGATCAACATCTGCCTTTTACTTCAAAGTTTTGTTTTTGCCTTGGTGGTGGTTGTAGGTTTTTGTTTTTGTTTGTTTTGTTTGGCGGCCCACAGTAAAAATTACTATGACAAAATCATGACTTTTTAAAAGTATTTGAATTGCAAGAAAATGGTTTATTTTTATATTTATTATAATTCCTTACCTATTTGTTTCTGGCTTCAAAAGAACCAGTTTCCCCTTAAACTTTAAATGGCCTCTAAAGACTTGGTGAAGTCCTTAAATGAATACAACTTTTGTCTTCACAGATACAGGCTAGTTCCAAAGGTTTATTTTCCTGAGCAAATTCATGATGTTATACGTGCCACAAAGTACTTCCTGCAGCCAGAAGTCTTACACAAGTATTCAGTTGACCCAGGCAGAATCGGCGTTTCTGGTGACAGTGCTGGTGGGAATTTGGCGGCTGCCCTGGGCCAACAGGTAACAGAGAGCCCTGAGGTGCTGGTGGAAGGAGAGTGTGTGATAATGTTCAACAGATCGTCCACTAGGCATGGCAAAGGCCTAGCTGGGTGGGCTGGTCACTTGGGGGGGCCAAGTAATTCAGATGACTGCACTTGGAAAGCTCTCAGAGATCTTTTGAAGTAGGAAGAGGGGTCATTGAAAGAATTGTAATCTTTGAGTCCTTGGAAGGGCCCTGATTACAATTAAGGTGAGTAATGTGAGAGGAGGGCTAACATTTTAGAGGGCTCCCTTACTCCTCAGGGATATGTATGGAAATTAAGTATCTTCTGCTCCTTTTCCATGTTGGACTTACAAACAAGATAATTTTGCTTAAATTCCAATTGCTAAGGTTGTTTCCTTAAATTTTGAGCCAAATTAAAAAATTTTAAAGTGTTTCCCAAAGGTTTTTTTTTTTTTTTTAATATAAAAGAAAGAGTTAAATGGTTCATCCACTTTAAATGTTACAATACAAGTTAGTCTGAGCTTTAGCTGGTTAAATTCTTTGAAAACTGTCTAGCTCTAGTAGCATCCCCAATTTTGGGCAGCTGTGTAGACTCAAAGATAAGTACATTTTCTTCCTTTTCTGGGTTAAATAATTTAAGAATAGCATCTCTGTCTTCTTACCTCCAAATTTCTTTTGGCATTCTCAAATAGCATCTGCCTTTTCATTTGTGGCATGTCCTGATTTCTTCTCTTTTGCTATAAATAAAGAACTTTGTCCTCCGCTTGGCATTGGTGGGTTTGCTATCCACACATCCAAAGCGGTAAGAAGAAAGTCCTGGTACAGTGGGGAGAACCTCATGGGCTTTAAAACTGGACACAACCAGGATGGAATCCAGGCCCCGCTGTGAGAGCTGTGGGGCTTTGGCAAGTCCTCTCACCTCTTTGAGCCTCAGGAAAATGAGGCTCATGCCATTTGATTGCAGGGCTGTTGCCAGGATTCAGTGATATGAGGTATATACAGCTCTTGGCACACATTAATAATACTATTAACTGATCATTTCCTCCTGCTTTTACAGAGCAGTTACATCTTCCCTCGGGATGGGTTCTAAAGTGTGGTGTGAAACAAAATTGTATGGCTAATGTTACCTTGAAGATTGTTTAGCTGCTTGTGAAACACAGTGACCTAGTTAGCTGCCTTTTAGATGGGGGTTTAAGGACCTAAGAGATCATGTACCTTTGAAGTGTTCACTCAGAACTATGAGTTGCAAACATCACACCTTTCTCAGTAAATATCCAGCAGCTTGAAGGGTGGTGGTAGTGGTGGCGATGGGGAAGTAGTTATTTTTTAAACTACATTCCTTAATACCATGCCTGGTAGGAATGTAACACTTATACCCCTTTGATTGAGTCAAGGTAAAGCACTGGGCTACTTTAAAAGGTATGGTTTCTGTAAAAGAAGCCATTCAAAATGAAATAATGTGTTCGCTTTCTCTTCTCCAGTTTAATCAAGATGCCAACCTAAAAAACAAGCTCAAAGTGCAAGCTTTAATCTATCCAGTTCTTCAAGCTTTAGATTTTAACACACCCTCTTATCAGCAAAATGTGAACACCCCCATCCTGCCCCGTTATGTCATGGTGAAGTACTGGGTGGACTACTTCCATGGCAACCATGACTTTGTCCAAGCAATGATAGTTAACAATCACACTTCACTTGATGTGGAAGAGGCTGCTGCCCTCAGGGCCCATCTAAACTGGACATCCCTCTTGCCCGCATCCATCACAAAGAACTACAAGCCCGTCATGCAGACCACCGGCAACACCAGGATCGTCCAGGAGATCCCTCAGCTGCTGGATGCCCGCTCAGCCCCACTCATCGCAGACCAGGAAGTCCTGCGGCACCTCCCAAAGACCTATATTCTAACCTGTGAGCACGATGTCCTAAGAGACGATGGCATCATGTATGCAAAGCGTTTGGAGAGTGCAGGTGTGGAGGTGACCCTTGATCACTTTGAGGATGGCTTCCACGGATGCATGATTTTCACCAGCTGGCCTACCAACTTCTCAGTGGGAATTCGGACTAGGAATAGTTACATCAAGTGGCTGGATCAAAACCTGTAAAGGAGTGAAATTTCTAAAAGGCTTGAGCCCCTCTTGATCTCCTGCACCTGCTCTGGAAAGACATTCACTCTTTAGGTGACTAATTTCCCCTCGTTACTTGAGTTATGGAATCTCTATTCCCTGCAGACTTTATGTTAATTTAATTAAAAAAAATGCTTTTGAGTAACATAAGTGCAAAAACATCTGAATCTGGATCTCTAAGTGAGCCAGTCTCTCTGTTCTTGTCTTAACCAAATTACTACTAACACCCACAGCTGCAGAAAGCAGGGCTAGGAGCTGGAAAAAGCTTTGAGTCTTGCCTCCATCAAGAAGTTCTTTTTAGGAGAAATTCTTCCAGCTGCGGATGACCTTTAATGAGTAAAAAGAAAATGTGGGCTCTTCAACTTGCTAGAGTTTACTTTGAGTTAAGAACAGTGTTAAATGTGTTCACTTCAAGGTCAGTGCTGGCTACCAAGTACCCTCTGTTCTTTATGGATGGATGGCTTTGTTTCCTGTGGGAATTTTGGCAGAGCTGTTCTAGCAAGGACAACTTTCTCAAATGACTTTCCTCCTTTAGAGTGTTAATTTTATGTGATAGCTGTCTCTAAGTCCAGTTGGATTATGATAATACTTGAAAGTTACTTTCTACCACTATTATTAGAAAATATGAGGTTGCATGCACTGGATATCTGTACATCATTAAGTTTTTTGGTTATGCTATCTCCCTGGTGGAGATCTTTTGGGAGCAAATTAATTTAGATTTAGAATAAATTTTCCTTTACAGAACAAGTAAAAACAGACAAATGAATCAACCTATTGTTTTCATAATGAATACTTCTCACATAAATTACCAAGAGTGGTGTGTATATATTTGGCATAGTCAGAAAAGGAGATACATTTAATATTAAAATTATGAAAAATACCTTTAGAGGGTCTAGTTTATTCTTGAAAACTCAACTTTTTCACTTACATGGCTTTAAAATGGGGCTATTTTGGTATATATAATGTACTGTATTGTTTATTTTTTTAAGTTATTTAATGTTAATACATATAGCTAGACAAGATTTTTCAGAATAAAGTCAGTAATGAATATTAAAAATAATGATTTTTTTTAAAAACTACCTTAGGGTTTAAAAAAAAACTTTAGAATTATATCCACATGTAATTTTATGAAAAGAGGTAAAATACCTATTGTTACCATATATAAGGCCTAAATATTTTGATGTTTATATGCATATACAAATCACAATAATTAGAAACTACGACTACACCTAGTAAAGTCATCTAAGTTTATAGTTCAATAGCTTAGACAAGACACACATTGGTCATTTCTGCTCTCTGTGGTCAGAGGAACTGCTTCATACTCTTCTAGGTGACACCCTTCATTATCGCCTTCCAAGTAGGTCTAAAGTTACAATAGACTAGGCTTAATTTCATGTGAAGCCTTCACTGCCTGTGGGACATCTTTGGCACAGAAGGAAACTCCAATTCTGATTTGACTTGTGTACCTTCGCCTTCCTTCCTGCCGCTCTTCGTACTGCTGCAATCTGTGCTACTTTCAGGGACTGCAGAGAGCAGCTACACAGCCAAGTCATGATACAATATATTTATCAGTGGAAAGAAAGTAGAGCCTTCTCACTCATTTGAAAGATGGGTATTTCCTACTTATGAGGATGAAATAACAAATGAAAATCTGCCTGTTTATTTTTCATTTATTATTTAAGTCAAGAGCATTTTATGTACAAGACAGAAGTAAATGCAACAGTGAGTATCTGTCTGTGTGCCTGTGTATGTATAAAAATAATCATACAAATTAACATGCTAATGGACTCAGGCAAGTCACTTACCGTCTCCAGGCCTGTTTTCCCTCTCCTCTAAAATCAGAGAATTGAATTACTGAATCTATGAGGTGTCTTCCAACTATAAATTCCAACCATTTTGTCAGACTGGAAAATTGTATTGGCCTCTTCTTCAACAGTGTTTTGTGTGTGTGTGTGTTTGTTTTTGTAGGTCATTATTCCATATACACAGACAGGTACATGATCAATTTTTTCCCCTAAAAACATGGGATTTTAGTTCTTACTCTATGACAGCTACCCTCCTCATTTAATACTATTCTTTTTGATGCCATTTGAAGGAACCAATGTTTTGACCTTATTTTGAGGTTACCCACCTCTAGGAAAGCAAAGAAAATATAATACATGCACAGAATTCCTTAAAATGGCATTCCCCGCCCCCCCAGAATTGTGAGCCAAATCTTGTACTAACTACAGACAGTGAATGATTCTTGGTCTCCAAAGGGCTCTCTCAGATGAAAAGAGGGGGTGAAAGAAAAAAGGGGTCAAGCACTGTTTCTGATGAAGCATCTAAGTTTCATTAAAGCTTTTATTGGGAATTCCCTGGTGGCCCAGTGTTTAGGACCCAGCATTTTCACTGCTGTGGCCTGGGTTCTATCCCTGGTCGGGGAACTAAGATCCCACATGCCGCGCAGCATGGCTTTTATATATGTGAAAGTGACTTGCACTATATCCCACCTCAGACCTTTCTTGAAGGTCTTCCTTGAAATTTTCCTTGGTATAATAATTGGGAATCATGATACACAAAACCCACTAGATACAAAAGAGGCTAAACCAACCAAAAATCTGAGTGCTAAGAATTCCTTTGGGAAGCATGCAGAGTTTATATTGAAGATATTTTGGCTTGGAATCAGTTTATTTTGTTTTAATTTTTGTTCTTATAAAAAATGTTTATGCTCTGCAGATTGATTTCTTTTAAGTGTTATGGCTTTGTTTTGTTTTCCGATTTTAAGAAAAAACGGATAGTCTTTTTATAATGTCGTTGTTGTTTGTGAAATGTGACCATAAATATATGAAGAAAAAATCTTGAAGTGCTACAAAATATAGTGAAGTGTAAATTAGTTACTGTTTTATCATTGATTTGTGAAGAAGTTAAGACAGTTGTATATCTTGGTGGATATAATATTTTATGCATGACCTTTTAACCTTTGACTTTTTGCTTATTTCTCACTGCAAAGGGGAAGGCAGATTTTATGAAGGCTTTTGGTAGCCAGTCTATTTTGTAAGATGAAAATCCACTGTGGAGGTAGGAAAGTATAAATCTGTTTTGATTCATGTTTGTAAATAAAATGTCTCCATCTGGAAATGTGCCTCTTTCACTTCCCCTCATCTCATTTTCTGGTTCCCCCCTCTCTTTCTCTTGGTATCCTAGATCCCTAGCCACAATTTAGCCCAAATCTTCTGCCCCCTGGAGTCCTCCAGCTGCCTTTCAATTACTGAGAGGTGGCTCAGTGGCCTCTCTGATGACATCCATTTCATGTCTGGATACAGTATGTGCTGCTCGTACTGGAAACCTGCCTTGGCCTGGCTAGAATATTCATAAAAGCTAGGCAGTTAGGCAGGCCATGAGACAATTTGGGGACTTTCCATACACATATTAGGAAGGGTTGATCACAGTGCAAATGAATTTGGATTTGAACTATCTCAGGCAAAGAAGTATTGATACCACTGAAGGCAAGTTTTCACATTGACTCTGTCATTACAAGCAAAGCTAATAATTTCACGCTTGAGTTCATTATGCTTAGTTCATTTCAATATCATAGGAATTTGCAAAACTTTTTTTTTCAAAGTAAATTGTGTTGGTTCTAAATGGTCACATATGTGTGGCTAAATTAGATTTTCCTATTCAATTAGAGTTCTTTTCATCTTCAACAAAACCTCTGGTTTGTGGCTATATTTTGCTGAAGGGATCCACTAATGGTTCCAACAATTCTCCTTTAGGGCATTTAAAATGTACTCTATGTGTTTTAATATTGTTTTTTCTTGTGATTTTCATTTTTTTTTAATCCCCCATTAAAAAAAAATAACATCTCATATTTTCCAGTGGATCCCCTATTTAAACATCTAGAATATACTGATATTAGCATCATATTCCCCAAATTTCAGAGACTGAAAATGTAAATATGATTTCCAGTAGGCATACATGTATTGTTCAGCCCTGTCGCTCAGCATTTTGTGTCATTAGAGAGGCTGGTGACATTTTGTGTCTTGTTAGAAATGTCCCTACCAGATTTTCTCACCACTGGTATTTCAGATTGAGAGCTCCATCTTCTCACATAGGCTGCACACCCAGACTAGCTATTTGTTACTGTTTTTCTGTCGTAAGTGTAGAGTGGAGTTTTCCAGCTGCTACTTGACGTGGTGTTGTAGTAGGTGGGCTGTAGAGGCAGATATGAGAATCCAGATGGCTCCTGTTAAGCCAGACATTAAAGAGTTGCAAACACGTAAAACAATGCCACACTTCTCACTTGTTTGTGTTTGGAAAATTTAGTGATTTTTTTCCACCATAGAATATAGCTTAAGGTAACATAATTAAGTACATGAATAACTATGTTTACAATTTTTCAGTTTTAATTCCTAATACAGTAAACATCAATAAAGTTTATATGAACAGAAGCTATTTGGGGTCCTCAATAATTTTTAAGAATGTAAGGTCCTGAGACCAAAACAGTCAAGAAGTGCTGTTGTACAGCATCATCTATGGCAAGCCCTGTATTCTGTGCTAGGCTATATAGCCAGCCAACACTGACCTTATCATCATGGGAGACACATGCCATATTTCTCTTACCTAATATTCTTCCCTCCACCCCGGTGGCCTTTCTTTGCCCTTCCTTGTCTTCCTTTGCCAGCCTGCTCCAGGAAGCCTTTCCTAACTCCTCCCTCCTCAGGATATTTAGGTGTCCCTCCTCTGGTCCCACATTGCACTCAACACATGGCACGTAATTGGCTATTAGTGGGTCTGACTCCCTCACAAGACGCTGGGATCCTTGATGTGGGGTCATGTCAGCATCACTTTTGTGACCCCAGTGCCTGACACAGTGCCTCTCACAGAATAATCGCTTAATAAGTCTTTGCTGAACAAATGTTCTTATGTTGTTGCAATTAAAGCATAGTGTTCTTTTCAATGGCATGTAAAACTATGCCTGGTGCTATTGTATATATTTGCTTATTTATATTCTTAAGACACAAATCTCTGTTTGTTTTGATTTTTTTTCCCCCAGTAGATGTTTTCTTTCTACTTATGCATTAAAGATTTATTTGGTCAACAAATGAAATCCTGGAGCCCACAGAGAATTTTTAAAATTCAAGGCAACTGCCAGCAGAGGGC